CCAGCGAGGAAGGAGACCTGGCCACGCCTGCGTCCGCTCTCAGAATGATGTCATCCCACTGCTAATCCTGATGGCATGAGGCTGGCTCTGGGGGGGCGCTCAGCCTGGCCGCACCACCTCCCTCATGCCAGACGCCCGGGAGGAGAGCCGCCCCGACCAGCCAGGCCCAGAGGACTCTCCGTGAGCAGAGGAATAGCTTCTGTTGTGCAGGAGCCACTGTGCATTTGGGGCTCGGGTGCGATGGCAGCCGGCCGTCCCCTAATTAATCAAATCCCATCCCGTTCAGGGACCACTGCTCACCTTCCTGCCCTCAAACTCCCTACAGGGGTTGTCCGCAGCCATTGTCTCCACCTCCTGCGTCCGGTTCTCCGCCCACCCTACGCCAACCTTGACCCCACGGAGCACCGCAAGCCTGCCAGCTGCGGGCACCCAGCACGTCCGCCTGCCAACCCGAGGCCACCTCCAGGCCTCCCCACCCTCAGCTCCAGGCCTCCCCACCCTCAGCTCCAGGCCTCCCCACCCCCCACCCTCAGCTCCAGGCCTCCCCACCCCCCACCCTCAGCTCCAGGCCTCCCCACCCCCCACCCTCAGCTCCAGGCCCCCCCACCCCCACCCTCAGCTCCAGGCCTCCCCACCCCCCACCCTCAGCTCCAGGCCTCCCCACCCCCCACCCTCAGCTCCAGACCTCCCCACTCCCCACCCTCAGCTCCAGGCCTCCCCACCCCCCACCCTCAGCTCCAGACCTCCCCACCCCCCACCCTCAGCTCCAGGCCTCCCCACCCCCCACCCTCAGCTCCAGGCCTCCCCACCCCCCACCCTCAGCTCCAGGTCTCCCCACCCCCCACCCTCAGCTCCAGGCCTCCCCACCCCCACCCTCAGCTCTAGGTCTCCCCACCCCCCACCCTCAGCTCCAGGCCTCCCACCCCCACCCTCAGCTCCAGGTCTCCCCACCCCCCACCCTCAGCTCCAGGCCTCCCCACCCCCCACCCTCAGCTCCAGGTCTCCCCACCCCCACCCTCAGCTCCAGGTCTCCCCACCCCCACCCTCAGCTCCAGGCCTCTCCACCCTCAGCTCCAGGTCTCCCCACCCCCACCCTCAGCTCCAGGCCTCCCCACACCCCACCCTCAGCTCCAGGCCTCCCCACCCCCCACCCTCAGCTCCAGGTCTCCCCACCCCCACCCTCAGCTCCAGGTCTCCCCACCCCCCACCCTCAGCTCCAGGCCTCCCCACCCCCCACCCTCAGCTCCAGGCCTCCCCACCCCCCACCCTCAGCTCCAGGCCTCCCCACCCCCCACCCTCAGCTCCAGGTCTCCCCACCCCCCCACCCTCAGCTCCAGGTCTCCCCACCCCCCACCCTCAGCTCCAGGTCTCCCCACCCCCCACCCTCAGCTCCAGGCCTCCCCACCCCCCACCCTCAGCTCCAGGTCCTCCCCACCCCCACCCTCAGCTCCAGGTCTCCCCACCCCCACCCTCAGCTCCAGGCCTCCCCACCCCCACCCTCAGCTCCAGGCCTCCCCACCCCCCACCCTCAGCTCCAGGTCTCCCCACCCCCCACCCTCAGCTCCAGGCCTCCCCACCCCCCACCCTCAGCTCCAGGCCTCCCCACCCCCCACCCTCAGCTCCAGGCCTCCCCACCCCCCACCCTCAGCTCCAGGTCTCCCCACCCCCCACCCTCAGCTCCAGGTCTCCCCACCCCCACCCTCAGCTCCAGGCCTCCCCACTCCCCACCCTCAGCTCCAGGCCTCCCCACCCCCACCCTCAGCTCCAGGCCTCCCCACTCCCCACCCTCAGCTCCAGGTCTCCCCACCCCCCACCCTCAGCTCCAGGCCTCCCCACCCCCCACCCTCGCTCCAGGCCTCCCCACCCCCCACCCTCAGCTCCAGGCCTCCCCACCCCCCACCCTCGCTCCAGGCCTCCCCACCCCCCACCCTCAGCTCCAGGCCTCCCCACCCCCCACCCTCAGCACCAGGTCTCCCCACCCCCCACCCTCAGCTCCAGGTCTCCCCACCCCCCCACCCTCAGCTCCAGGCCTCCCCACCCCCCACCCTCAGCTCCAGGCCTCCCCACCCCCCACCCTCAGCTCCAGGCCTCCCCACCCCCCACCCTCAGCTCCAGGCCTCCCCACCCCCCACCCTCGCTCCAGGCCTCCCCACCCCCACCCTCAGCTCCAGGTCTCCCCACCCCCCACCCTCAGCTCCAGGCCTCCCCACCCCCCACCCTCAGCTCCAGGCCTCCCCACCCCCCACCCTCAGCTCCAGGCCTCCCCACTCCCCACCCTCGCTCCAGGCCTCCCCACCCCCCACCCTCAGCTCCAGGCCTCCCCACTCCCCACCCTCGCTCCAGGCCTCCCCACCCCCCACCCTCAGCTCCAGGCCTCCCCACCCCCCACCCTCGCTCCAGGCCTCCCCACCCCCCACCCTCGCTCCAGGCCTCCCCACTCCCCACCCTCAGCTCCAGGCCTCCCCACTCCCCACCCTCGCTCCAGGCCTCGCTCGTCCTGTCCTGTCGTTGGCGGGCTGTCGGGACTCTCCTCTCCCGCAGTGACGCGGGAAAGCACTTCAGGTCCCCAGGAGATGACGGGGGCGAGCCCAGCCACGCACGACACAGGAGTGGGCGTTCAGGAAGAGCCCGGTCATCATTTCTAAGTGGAAAGCATGAATTCTGGGATTACAGGCCCATCGCTGGGGAAATCGGTCTCAACCGAAGGGCTGAGGAGCAGCATGGACTCCGCCAGCGAGCAGACCCTGAGCTGCACACACACACACACACACGCACGCACGCACGCACACACACACACACACACACACACCCACACACACACACGCACACACACACACCCCAGGAAGCGGCTGCCGTGTCTGCAAGATGGAAGGGAGGTGTGTGCTCCTCCGTCCATTCACTCCGTGCTTCCCAAGTGCTACTGCGTGCCAGGCGCTGCTCCGCGACAGACACACAGAGGGAACAAAACTGGCCAAGTCCCCGTCTTTTAATTTACTAATTTTTTTAATCCTCACCCGAGGGTATGCTGTTATTCAACTTTTTTAGAGCTAGAGGAAGGGAGAGAGAGAGAGAGAAATATTGATGAGGGAGAAGCATCGATCAGCTGCTTCCCATACGTGCTCCAACCAGAGATGGAAACTGCAGCCCAGGTTTGAGCCCTGACCGGTCAGCACCCAGCATGGTTTGGTTTTGTGTTTTGTGGGTGTGTGGGTGTGTGGGCTGACACTCCACCCGCTGAGCCACCGGCCAGGGCAAGGCCCCTCCTTCCAGGAGCTGACACGCTAGTGGGGAAGCCAGACAGAGGGAGATAAGTGAGTAGAAGGTGAAGGTGCTGGATGGTGGCAAATGCAATGGAGAGAGCAGCAGGAAAGGGAACTGGGGAGCGTGTGTGTGTGTGTGGCGGGGAGGTGGGGGGCGTTACAGTTAGCCAGGTGCTCAGGGAAGGCCTCGCTGACAACAGGCCTCCCCGACAGAGACGGGGAAGCGGGTTTCCGACAGGAAAGAGCAGGTGAAGGCCCGGAGGCAGAGACGTGCCTGCGCGTTCCAGCAGCGGTGAGGCCACACCGCCAGGTTCCGAGCACGGCAGGGACAGGGCGCCTGGACGTGAACAGAGCCCATCGATCCGTGTGTGAGAATCGGCTGCGCAGGCTCAAGGCGGGAGGCGGGGAGGCCAACGAGGAGGCCGCGGTGGAGGGGAGAGGGGGCCTGTCCCGTGTGTCCTGTGGCCGGGCTCCAGGACTCCCTGGCCAAGGAAGTGGAAGGACGAGAGGGCAGGGATGGCCCAGGTGTGGTTCCGGCACCTGCACATGAGGAGTCGTGGGCGGTGCAGAGGGGAGGCCGGGGGAGCAGCCGGGAAGAGGGAGCTCAGCTTTGGGAGTATGCTGGGAGCCGGTCCATCCTTGCTGTTTCAAGGGACCTGGCATATATGGCATATTGTTCTTAATATGTTTGCTCACCTTCTTGGCACTATGTGTTTTAACCAAGGTCACCTCTCTGAGAAAGGTTGTTTCCCCAGGTAGGGATTTTCCCCTGAAGTTAGGGAGGGAATGAAACCCCTTAACTAAGTGCCAGGCGGGTAATTAATCACTTTAACTACGAACAATCATGCTTAAGCTACATAATCTTTACTCCCTGGAATGGAGATAAGAAACGCCCTAACCTTTGTAATAGAGATTGATAGGATTGAATCAACTGGTATAAATACAGATGTAATAAGACAGCAAGACACAGAACTTAGAATACGGAACCAAGAGACACAGAACTTAGAATACAGAGCTTAGAACACAGAACTAAGAAGACAGAACCTAGAGACAGAAGAACTTCACTGGAGAGAACATGGCAAAAGTTCCTGGACAGAAACTGGCCTCAGAACCTAGAGACAGAACCTAGCGAGAGAACATGGCAAAAGATCCTGGACTGACCCTGACTACAGAAATTGGCAAGAGAACCTGACTAGAACCTGGTGACTGAACCTGGCTGGAGAACCTGGAGAACCTGGCTGGAGAACCTAGCCAGACAACATGGATCCTGGCTAGAGATCCTGGCTAGGCTGCTGATCAACTGAACGCTGTCTCCGTGTCATTCCTTCTTCGCCGACTCCGTCCACACCTTTGGGGACCCCTGGACCTGCTGGGGCAGGACCCCGGCAGGAGTAGGCTTGAGATGCTCATGAGGCCGGGACTCGGGACACACACACACACACACACACACACACGCCTGCCCCCACACGCCTGTGCGCGCGCGCGCACACACACACACACGCCTGCCACACATAGGTCCTGTGCACGGGATGCCACTCAGGCTCACGCCAGCCCCAAGATCAGGAGGATCCCAGCGAGGCAGACCCGGGTGCGAGGGGGCTGCAGTCCCGGGGCAGAGCCCAGCCCACACCCGCCGGGGGCTCCAGCCGCGCAGGGCACTGCTCCCTCACGTCAGGTTAAACTTTGACCGAGGAAATGATTGCCAACCCTCTTCCCCAAGTGCCACCTGGCCCGCTCAGTTCCAGCCGCGTGACCGCCGTCTCGGCTGTCCGCACTTCTCAAGTTCATGCCGAGGAGGTGCCAGCGGCGCCAGGGCCGCCCCCGCAGCCTCGGGTCCCTGGAGCCTCCCGGGGCGACAGCTGCGAGCCGGCCCCGCACAGCGGAGGGGCCGCTGCCATGCTCTGGGCTGCCGGGCGGGAGACGCCCTCGCTGCCCGCTGGCGGCCGCCCCGGGCCCTGAGCCGGTCGCTGCGGCGTGGGCGCCTGCCCTGGCCCCCGGGGGAGCGCCATGGCCTTCTCTGAGCTCCTGGACCAGGTGGGCAGCCTGGGCCGCTTCCAGGCGCTGCAGGCCGTGGCCCTGGCCGTGCCCCTCATGTGGCTCACCACGCAGAACGTGCTGGAGAACTTCTCGGCGGCCGTGCCCGCGCACCGCTGCTGGGTGCCCCTCCTGGACAACGGCACGGCCCCGGCCAGCGCCCCCGGCGCCCTGGGCCCCGACGCCCTCCTGGCCGTGTCCATCCCTCCGGGCCCCCACCGCGGGCCCCACCCGTGTCGCCGCTTCCGCCACCCACAGTGGCAGCTCCTGGAGCCCAACGCCACGGCCACCAACTGGAGCGAGGCTGCCACGGAGCCGTGCGTGGACGGCTGGGTCTACGACCGCAGCACCTTCACCTCCACCGTCGTGGCCGAGGTAAGCCCCCGACCGCCTCCCCCAGGCCTGGCACCTTCGCGCCGGTCACTGCTTGCGGTCGGCAGCATGCGGACTGGCCGGGTCCCCGAGCTCCTCTCGCCAGCCAGCCCTCCTTGGTCACCTCCCCGGGCAGGGGGGCTGGTGCCAAGGCCCCGGCGGGTGGGACAGCAGGTGACACGGAGGGCACCCTCTCCCCAGCGGTGACGCAGGCGGCTCCCTGACATGCAAGCCCAGCTGCTCCACCTGCCAGCGGGGCTCAGGGAAGAGTCATGAGGCTCCCAGGGGTGACCCGCCAGGCGCATGGGCAAATGTGGGCGCGGGAGGGGGGCCGCCGCAGCCGCAGCCGGCGGGAAGGGGCCTCTGTAAAGACCCAGAGGGAAGTGGGAGGGAGGGAGATGAGTCCAGAAAGGGCTCGACCCTTGCCTGGGGGCAGTAGGGAGCCAGGGAGGGGCGTAGGCAGGGGTGACAGCCTTGGCTGTCCCACAGGCCCTGCCCTCCAGCCCCAGAGGGCACCAGGCTGCCCACACACCAGCCCCCGGGGCCTTCCCCTCGAGCCCCCCCCCCACGGCTCCCCCCCTCTCCCCGCAGTGGGACCTGGTGTGTGACGCGCAGGCCCTGAAGCCCATGGCGCAGTCCATCTTCCTGGCCGGGGTCCTAGTGGGAGCCGCGGTGACCGGCCAAGCCTCTGACAGGTGCGGACCCCTCCCCTCCAGGCAGGCCCGCGCCCTGGCTGCCCCTCGCCCGAGATGCCTGCGTGTGGGTCTCCCTCCCACACCCCCGGCTGTGCTGGGCGCAGGGCTCGCACCCTCTTGGCCTTGGTTTCCCCGAGTCTCCTGGGGGCTGTGGAGGGCTATGCTCTCATCAGACACCTGCGGCCGCCGCCCGCCTTCGGCTGCCTGGCTGCCCCGCTGGCAGGAGCGCATTCCCCTGAGGGACCATCGTGCCCACCTGTGCTCAGGAGCCTCCCGGACCAAGAGCGTGGCTCTGGCCCAGCTGGTGTGGCTCAGTGGATGGAGCGTCGGCCTGCGGACCGAAGGGTCCTGGGTTCGATTCCAGTCCAGGGCACATACCTTGGTCGCAGACTCCTCCCGGCCTGGGCCCTGGTTGGAGCGTGTGCGGGAGGCAGCCAATCGATGTGTTTCTCTCACATGGATATTTCTGTCTTTCTGTTCCACTCTCTCTAAAAGATCAATGAAAACATATCCTCAGGGGAGGATTAACAAACAAAAAAAAAGAATGTGGCTCTGGCCCCAGGTGCCATTTAAATTTATTTTTAAAAATATTTTTATTGATTTCAGAGAGGAAGGGAGAGGGAGAGAGAGAAACATCAATGATGAGAATCATTGATTGGCTGCCTCCTCCACGCTCCCCACTGGGGATGGAGCCTGCAACCCAGGCATGTGCCCGCAACCAGAATCGAACCCGGGACCCTTCAGTCTGCAGGCCGACGCTCTATCCACTGAGCCACACCAGCTAGGGCCGCGGGTGTCTTTAGCTTCCCCTCTGCTCAGTGAGCGAGCACAGCGTGGGCTCCGGTGTCACCTCCGTGGCCAATCCGTGGCCCGCCGTGGCCCCCCGCCTCCCGGTGCACAGGTTCGGGCGCAAGCTGGTGTTGACCTGGAGCTACCTGCAGATGGCCGTGTGGGGCACCGCGACCGCCTTCGCCCCCACCTTCGCCCTGTACTGCCTCTTCCGCTTCCTGGGGGCCCTGGCCATCGCCGGCGTCATGATGAACACGGCCACGCTCCGTAGGTGCCCCCGCCCGGGCGAGCAGGGGAGGCCCACAGGCTCCGGGGGTGACCCGCGTGTCCCCCTGCAGTGATGGAGTGGACGTCCACGCGAGCCCGGGTCTTGGCCATGACCTTCAACTCCCTGGGCTACAGCTTCGGCATGGTGCTGATGGCCGCCGTGGCCTACGGCGTGCGCGACTGGGCGCGGCTGCAGCTGGCGGTCTCCGTGCCCTTCTTCCTCTGCTTTGTGTACTCCTGGTGGGTGCCACCCGGCCGGCCCACCCTCCACCCAGGGGAACGGGAGACGCCTCCCGCTGGGGCCAGTCGGGTCCAAGGGGAGCGAGAGGTGCTGGGAACTGCTGACTGCCTGGGGGGTGGCGGGGATGTAGGACCAAAGACCCTTCTCCAGGCCTGACCCCCGGGGCAAGTGTAAAGCTGTTTGCAGGGGTATGGGGGCGGGGGGTGGGGGGCTCAGGCAGGAGGTGCAGCCATGGCGACAAGGGGAGGGTTGAGGTATCCGGGCACTGACAGTAGAGGAGGGACCCTGGCAGGCTCGGGGTCTATGGCAGCGGGCAGGACTGTGCCCCTGTAGCTACTGGCGGGGGGTGGGGGCAACCTACTGCACCCAGACCCCCCGACCTGGCTCCCAGGTGAGGCAAGGGAAAGGCCATGGAGTCAGGAGGGGGGCAGGAGGGGAGAACAGGGACCCCCCACCTCAATCCAGTGGAGGGAGGAGGGAGGAGGGAGGGAGGAGGGGAGAACAGGGACCCCCACCTCAATCCAGTGAAGGGAGGGAGGAGGGAGGCAGGAGGGGAGAACAGGGACCCCCCACCTCAATCCAGTGGAGGGAGGGAGGAGGGAGGCAGGAGGGGAGAACAGGGACCCCCCACCTCAATCCAGTGGAGGGAGAAGGGAGGAGGGAGGGAGGAGGGGAGAACAGGGACCCCCCACCTCAATCCAGTGGAGGGAGAAGGGAGGAGGGGGGAGGAGGGGAGAACAGGGACCCCCCACCTCAATCCAGTGGAGGGAGGGAGGAGGAGGGGGGAGGAGGGGAGAACAGGGACCCCCCACCTCAATCCAGTGGAGGGAGGGAGGAGGGAGGAGGGGGGAGGAGGGGAGAACAGGGACCCCCCACCTCAATCCAGTGGAGGGAGGAGGGAGGAGGGAGGGAGGAGGGGAGAACAGGGACCCCCCACCTCAATCCAGTGGAGGGAGAAGGGAGGAGGGAGGCAGGAGGGGAGAACAGGGACCCCCCACCTCAATCCAGTGGAGGGAGAAGGGAGGAGGGGGGAGGAGGGCCTTCTGGGAAGGCCGGCGGCTGAGATGGTGTGGCTGCCACATGTCAGTGCCCGTCCTGCCTGCCCGCTGACCTCACCTCCCGAGTCTAGGGCCTGTGGACACCAGTGAGGCCACCCCGTTGGGCAGAGGGTGAGGGGGTCAGTGAGGCTGGTGGAGGCCAGACCCTGGGCCACCCACTGGAGCCAGGCCCTGGGGTGACAGGCAGGGACCCTCCCACTCTGCCCTCCCTCCCGCCCCAGGTGGCTGGCGGAGTCGGCGCGGTGGCTGCTCATCACGGGCAGGCTGGAGCAGGGCCTGCGGGAGCTGCAGCGGGTGGCCGCCATCAACGGGCAGAGGGCAGTGGGGGACGCACTGACCATGGAGGTGAGGCAGGGCGAGCTTCCCCAGGGCTGGACCCCACACCCTCTCCCTGACCCTGCACAGGCCTTCGGGAGGGCCTGGCCCCCTAGGATAAGGGGGGGGAGCTGCTGGAGCTGCCAGTGCTGACAATGCCCCCCCGCCCCCCAAGGTCGTGCTCTCCGCCATGCAGGAGGAGCTCAGTGCGAGCCGGGCTCCCGCCAGCCTGGGCCACCTGCTCTGCGCACCTGGACTGGGCCTCCGGACCGGCGTCTCCACTCTGTGCTGGTAGACGCCCGCCCCCGCCCACTGGGCCCCTCCGCCCGCGGCCCCGGCTGCTGGGGACCCAGTCAGGGCTCTGCTGCGTCAGGCAGGGCCTCTGAGGGCTCTCGGCTGGTCCCGCTGGTCTGGGGTGGGGGGCGGAGGGTGGCTCTGGCCCAGGCCCTACAGCCCTGCGCCTCCATCAGGGGAACGGCCCAGGCCCAGTGGCTCAGGCAGCTGAGTGCGGAGAGAAGAGGGGAATAAGGAGGATTCTTAACGAAGGCGCTGCAGGAGCTGAAGAGCCCGTAGGATGAGGAGTCGGATTCAACACCAGAGAGCACACCCGCCCTAGTTTGGAGGGACCAGGAGGAGGGCGGGGCATTCTCAGAGCCCGGGAGCCGGGGCCGCCCAGCAAAGAGGGAAACCAGCGAGGCCTCCGAGGGGGGGGCCTGGAGGGGACAGGGCACCCAGGGCACCCAGGGCAAGGGAGGGGGAGCCCCCTGCTTCTCCCCTGGCCCCGCCTCCCGCCTCTCACCAGTGCCTCCCATGGCCAGACCTCATGAGGCGCAGCGTTGGCAGGGCCCTGGGAAATGCAGCCCGCAGAGGCCGCCCTCCGCCCTCCCGAGCGCACAGGAGGGCGGAAGTGGGTCCAGAACAAACCAGCCATGGAAGGCCCCTCCGCAGCCTGACCCCGCCTGCCCCGCCCCAGGTTCGCCTTCGGCTTCACCTTCTTTGGCCTGGCCCTGGACCTGCAGGCCCTGGACAGCAACCTCTTCCTGCTCCAGGTCCTCCTCGGGGCCGTGGACATGGCGGCCAAGCTCGGCGCCCTGCTGCTGCTGAGCTGCCTGGGCCGCCGCCCCACGCAGGCGGCCTCGCTGGTGCTGGCCGGGCTCTGCATCCTGGCCAACGCGCTGGCGCCCCGCGGTGAGCGGGCAGGTCTGGGCGCCGCGGCTGTGGCCGAGGAGCCTCCCTGGGGAGGGGGCCTGAGCCAGGAACACAGACCCCGGCCCCTCCTCTGCCGGTGCTGGACTAGCACGGGGCGCAGCTGGGAAGGAGGCGTCTGGAGAGGGGGCGGTGGCCTGTACTGGGCAGGGGAGCAGGGAGGGAGTGGGGTGGGCGACATGGTGAAAACCGTGGAGATCAAAGAAGGACTCGGTGATGAGTTGTGGGGACAGGGGCAGGGAAATGGGGGGCGGGGGTCAGGGAGGGCTCCCCGGGTCTGGCTCTGGGTGTCTGAGCGGGAAACAGATTGGGGGGATGGGAGCATGTGGCCATGAGGTCACGTAGGACGTGGTGCGTGTGTGGGGTCTGGGGACACCCAAGTGGGGGCGACACAGACATGGGGGAGGTCAGGGAGAGAGCCTCCGGCTGATGCTGGGCCCGCCCGTCCCCGTCTCCGCCCACAGAGATGAGGCCCCTGCGCTCAGCCCTGGCCCTGCTGGGGCTTGGGTGGATAGGGGTGGCCTTCACCTGCGTCTCCATCTACACGGGGGAGCTCTTCCCCACCGTGCTCAGGTGAGGCTGGGCCCGGCCCGAGCAGGGGTGCCCTGGGCTGGGAGGGCAGGACGGGTGTTCATGCCTTGTCTCTCTTCCATGTGGTCTCAGGCTGACCCCCGTACCTCCCTGGGCGGAGCAGGGCTGGGCCGGAGGGGGTGGGGTGGGCGTGGCCCCTCACAGTGCCCCTGTGCCGGCAGGATGACCGCCGTGGGCCTGGGCCAGATGTCGGCCCGAGGGGGGGCCATCCTGGGGCCCCTGGTCCGGCTGCTGGGTGTGCACCACCCCTCCCTGCCCCTGCTGGTGTACGGGGCGGTGCCGGTGCTGAGCGGCCTGACCGCGCTGCTGCTGCCCGAGACCCAGCACCTCCCGCTGCCCGACACCATCCAGGATGTGCAGAACCAGTGAGTAAACCAGAGCCCAGAGCAGGCGGGCCTGGCCCTCACCCCATCCCTGGGCAGAGGAGAAGCAGAGGCCAGAGAGGGAGAGGACTGGCCGAAAGCACACAGCACATCTGCGAGAGTGGAGGCCGAGGGCTGGGTTTCCCGGCTGACAGTGTGGGTTGTGTACCCTGTTCTTCGTTCTCCTGTGTGAGGCCCAAACGGCCCAGCTACCCCAGCTCCACCTCGAGAGAATCAGGGGAGGGAGCGGAGCCCTGTGTGAGGGGGAGCCGAGGGCAGGGTGGCCATTGTTAGGTCTTCACTGGCCCCAGACTCTACGACTACAGCCCCAAGATGCCTTCAGGGCTGTCACTGCCCATCGCCCTCCACCGTGTGCGCAGGGAGCTCAGTCCAGGGCCCTGAGAGCAGCAGGACCTGCTGGATCCTCAGGATGGACACAGGTCGGAGGTCAGGGGTCACTGCACCTTCGAGACACAACCCGTCCGCATCTTTCCTGAACAGGTCGGTGAAGAAGGCAGCACACGGAGCCCGGGGGCCTGCTGTCCTGAAATCCACGCAGTTTTAGGTTCCTGAGAGCCTGCGAGGGCCCGGGAGGAGCTTGCTGTCCTCCGCTGACGGCAGGAGAGCAAAGGCCTGGATTTCCGGGGGGCCCGGGGGCTGCCCCTCCAGCCAGCCCTGCTCTCACCGAGGAGCCGCCTTCAACACAGAAAGGGCAAAGGATGGTGTGATTGGCAGGAGGCCACTTAACCTTCACTCACGGGTGCAGAGAGGAGCGAGGCCAGGCCCGGGGGACTGGCCAGCCTGTCGATCCCGGCTGCCCTCTTGCTGCCCGGGCTCAGCGGGCTCCGAGGGGATCGTCACCGTGTCAAAGCCTCCCAGCTTCTCACCCAGCCCGAGGGCTCTCAGTGATGGAATCTTGGCTCCTCAGCTTCACCCGAAAGGCGGCTCCTGCTCCCCCCCCAACCCCCCCCCCCCACACTCCAGCCACACAGCCAGTCCCGCCCGGCGGCCTCGTCTTCTGCCTGGAATCCCCCTGCCACCTTCTCGACAAATGCCCAGCCTCCAAGACCCAGGCCAATGTCCTCATGCCAGGCCCCAGGCCCAGCCCAAGGATCTAATGAAACCCTTACCCACGGCCCCGGCCTGAGAGTTCCCGGGGGGTCGGGGTGTCCCCAGCTCCCACTCAGAGGAGGGCGGGGGGCACAGGTGGGAGGGAGATGAATAAAGGAACAAATGTCTGGCTCTCACCGACTCAGCGATGGGCCCGGGGCTGCCGGGTGGGGGCTCCTGGCTGGGTGGCCCTTGCCCAGGCCCTGAGCGGCTGCCCTCTCCCGCCCCCGCTGTGGGCCAGGCACCATCTTTTCCTGAAGCCTTCGAGGCAGACTTTGCCGTTTCACAGATGGGAAAACTAAGGCTCCAAGAAGCAGACTGCCCGTCACTCAGCCAGGAGGGGCCGAGTCAGGAGTCAGCCCTGGGCTGCAGGCGTCCAGAGCCCAGCTCAGGCCTCAGGTCCCGCGGCCAGCGATGCTCCGCGAGGGCAGGGCCTCCCCTCAGCACCAGCGAGGTCCCCGCAGGGTCCTCTGCCCCAAGTGGCCTGAGGGGCCTTGCTGCCGTCCTTCCAGGCGGCACAAGCTTCCGGGGCCCAAGGCCTGCCCTCTGGGCACTAGGGAGTGTCATCACCCTGGCCAAGTGCGCACCCTGCGGAGGGAGACGGGTGCCCCCTTGGCAGCAGCCACGGGCCTGCATGACAGCTGGGCGCAGCCCCCTGATGGCAGGCCTTCCCTTGGGGCACCACGGGCTCCATGTCCACCTCCAGGAGGGGACATCCTCCCAGAAGAGCCCGCACTGGCCGAGCTGGTGTTCCCTCCCTGGGGGCTTGCAGGGCAGGGCTTCCAGGTCCACGGCTTCAGCCAGACTTCGGCTAGCTCCCCCCCCCCCCAACCCTGTCCTTGTTCCCCCGCAGGCGGACTCTCCTGACACATCCCCCCGAGTAGGAACTGCCACCCCCGGGCCAGCCAGACCCCGAGGGCCCAGCTCAGGCCCAGCTCAGGCCCAGGGGCTAAGTCCAACACCAGGGGCCCAAGAACAAGGAGGTGAGCCCGAGGGGACCGTCTCCTGCAGATGGGTAAACAGAGTCAACGGCAGGTCTGGGAATCTCTCCTCCTACAGCCAAGCCTTTGAGCCACCCCCTGGCCGGGAGCTCTGCCTCCCTGTGCAGAGGGGCACTCGGCCCGCAGTCCTCCGGCTCCTGCACGGCCCCCTCTGGCCCCGATTCTGACGGCTGTGCAGGCTGTTCTAGAATTTCTGAAGTAAGGATGCTCCTTCCCTTCTTGACACCCAAGGACACCTTTCTTCTTTGGCTGGTGGTGACGGGCGGGGGCGCCTGGGGAAGTCTCCGTCCCTTGGACAGAGCAGCAGCAGAGGACCCAGGGCGAGGCCAGCGCCCGCTCGGGGATAGGACAGCCTGGCAAGACTGTCCCAAGCCAGGGCCTCCGCCAGGCGTCCACAGGGGGCTGGAGCTGGCCTTGGGGATGCTGACCTCAGGCTCCGACTGAGCAATGAGGGAAAGGGGGGACCAGAGCCTCCCCCACCTGCAGGGGCTCGTTAGGAGGCCAGGAGAGGACAAGGCCATGGGAACCCACACCCAGGCAACTGGGGGAGGACCCGCTCTCCTACCCTTGATAGGACTCGGGGAGGACTCCAGGACCCGAGGCTACACCCCATGGTGGGGAGGGTCCCAGGACAAAGGCTGCATCCCAGGAGGGTGTGGAGCTGAGCCAACGGGGTGGGGCTCTAGCAGGGATTGAGCCCAAGGGCCTGGGGGGTGTCTAAGCTGAAACATGGACCAGGTCTGTGAGCTGGAAAATGCATGAGATGAGCTGGGCAGAAGCAGAGCTGAAACAGGGTGAATCAGGCAGGGAAGGGTGATGGCCAGCCAAGGGCGCGAGAAGGCAGAGCCGGGAGAGGGGCAGGCTCCCCAAGCAGAAGGGGAGGCGCCCTGAGTGGCGGAAGCGTGGCTGAGCCACCTCTCGTGTTCAGGGGTTGGTTGGCCACCACCACCACCTGCACACAGCTCTCCTGAGGGTGCCTGCCACCCGGCTCACCTGCCACCCCACCTCGCAACCGGGGGGCTTAACAAACAGACCTGGCGGGAGAGCTCAGTCGGTCAGAGCATCGCCTTAAAGTGCAAGGATGCGGTTCTACTCCTGGTCCAGGCACTGCAAGAACCAACCAATGGCTGTTCCTCCCTCTCTGCCTTCCTCTCTTTCTAAAACAACAAAAACCAAGAGCTGTCTCAGCTCGTCGGGGCCGTGGGCCTATTTAGTGTCTCCGCGAAGGAGCAAACCCCTAAGGTGTGCCGGGTCCACTTCCTTCTGCAGCCCAGGCGGTGCCCACGGCCAGTCAGAGTGGACCCCGGAGGTTGTGGTGGGCACAGGGCCCTGACCCCTCAGGCTGGGAAGGAGCAGACTTGCAGTCAGGCAGGACCGGGGGCAGCTCTGGACCCGGCTACTGACTCACCCACCTGGAGACCCTGGAGCAGGCAGGGATGCTCTCCCCACCCAGGAGCAGCACTGCCCGGGGGCGGCGGCGACCCCAGGGGCAACTCCGTGCTCCCGGCCCCGGGGCCTCGTCCCCCTTCGGAGGAGCGGAGGTCCTCCAGGGCTGACCCAACCAGGGCCAGCGACCATCCGGGCTGCTTCCTGCCCGTCAGCTGCGCAGACAAAGACAAATTGTCCCCGGAGCCCAACGCCATGCTCGGCCCCAAAGTTTGGGAGCTGCGTAAGGTACCGAGGCTCACGGCCCCCGTATGGGCCGGGTCCCAGCCCGGCGCCAGGGCCAGGTCCCAGCAGCCCCCACCCCCAACAAACGGCACGGGGCCTTCGGATTTGGAAAGTTTTTGTTTTCTTTTCCCACACATTTCCGGGGTTGGGGTGTTTTCCAAGACTTAGACACATTTGTTAACAAAGAGAGAAAAAAACTGGGGGAGCAGGGAGCCCGTGGGCAGACGAGTGACCCCAGCAGCGGGAGGGCACTGCCTCCTCTCTCCCCTGCTGCCGGCGCCCGGCGGTGCCAGGCTGCTGCTCGGGCATCTGGATATTCGTCTTTAATATAATATCTGCATGTGCCTTCCCTCCCCCCGCCCCCCACCTGCTCCTCCAGCAGCTTCCCCCGCGATGCACCTCGCCCGCCAGCGGCACACACGGAACAGGCCTTCCCAGGCCCCAGCCCCAGCCCCTTCCCCGGCGGCCCGGGAAGGCACCTCTCCCAGGTGGACGACGGAGTCCGGGCTGGGGGCCACCCACTGCCCCACCCCGCCCCCCACTCCCTCGCTGGGCCACTCGCCCACCCTCCCCCCTTCTCCCGCCGACTCTGGAAACCCAAAGGAGGAAAGGAAGGGAGAAACCAGACACACACAGAAATGGGAAGGCGGATGGGGCCGAGAGACACTGCAAGCCTGGGGGGGGGGGGCAGGGGGGAGGGCTTGGGAGCGAAGGAAGGCAGGAGGGACAGAGGGAGGAGAAAGAAAAGTTGGGGAAATTAACAGGACAAGGAGTGGACACTTTACAAAACCCCCAGCCTTCCTTCCCGCCCAACCCCACCAAAATAAAACTACCTCTTAAAAAAATAAATCAACCCGGGGCTGTGAGCACCGCCCTGCCCAGGAGCAGCGCTGAGGGACAGCCGCCGGGACTGACGCCGCCCCGACGGACGGACAGACGGATGGACGGCAGGAGGAGAGGGGCGAGCACGGGTTTTCCTTTTCTTTTTTTGCGTTTCCTCTTCATGAGAGAAGTCTGAGGCAGCCAGGGAGCGGCCGCAGCGCCGGGCGGGCGCACCCTCCCCCGGGGGCGGAGGCGCCGGGCGGGCGGTCACACGTAGTACTCCTTGTCCTTGTTCTTCTTGGCCTTGCCGGGCGCCTTGGGCGCGGCGGGCGCCTTCTCCTTCACCACCGCGCCGTTGCTCTGCGCCGAGTTGCTGATGTAGTTGCGGCTCTGGTCCACCTGGTAGGAGCCCTCGTCGCGGTTGCGGTACTTGTACATGGCGTAGAGCAGGATGAGGATGCAGAGCGCCGCGGCCGCCACGATGCCCACCACCATGCCCGTGGTGCTGCTGGACTCGCGGATCACCTCCACGGCGCCCGGCCCGCGCTCCCCCGGCCCCGTGGGGCTGGCTGTGGGCAGATGGGGGAAGCCGGGGGCGGCGGTCACGCCGGGGCGCAGGGGCGGGGGCCTCCGCGGCTCGAAGGACGTGGGGGCCCCGGGCCCCGGGGGCGGGTTCTCCTGCAGGGGCTGCAGCGGGTCTCGGTGGTTCATCTTGCCCGCCGGCAGGTTGGGCGCCGGGGCCGAGGGGGCGAGCAGCACCCCGGGGGCGCCCGTGGCCCCATCTGTCCTGAGGTTGGGCCGGGGGGCGGGCTTGCGGGGGGCGAGGAGGGTGGTGCGGTCCGTGACCAGGGGGAAGGTGGTGTAAAAGTCCTCGTCGTCCGTGGGGGGGAGGCTGGAGTCAAAGACCTCCCCGGAGGCGAAGCCCGAGGCCTCGATGGGCTCCTCGCAGTCGCTGTCGTCCTGCTCGGCCTGGCAGGGGCCCCCCGCGGGCGGGCGGCGGGCGGCGGGCGGGGGCAGGGTGTCCTGCGTGGCGCCCACGCCCGGGAGGAAGGGGTAGAAGGTGGGGGGCGGGGGCACGAAGGGGGACCGGGTGGCCACGGGAGGGGGGTCTAGGGAGTCCTCCGTGATTATGGGCAAGATTAACTCTCCTCCTAGAACAAGAGAGAGAAGAGAGAAGAGGGGGCGTCAGCGGGGGCCGGGGCGCGGGCGGCGCCACAGAGCGAGAAACAACAGCCTCACCCCCATCCGTCCCCCTCGGCCCGGCCGCCGCGCTCTAAGCGGCAGCGGGTGCCTGGGCACCCCGGGCTCTGGCCCTCGGGGTCTCGATTGTCTTAAGAAACCAAAAGGAACAGAAAGGAAAGGAAACCGAAAAGAAACGGAAAAGAAACTCTACTGGCTTACGACTTTAAACACATACAAGAGCAGCATTTAAACAAGCCTAACGACAGTATCTTTTAGGGTTTTTTCTAGATAGTTCTTTTTTGGCTTTTGTTTTTTTTCTTTTGTTTTTAAAAAAGAAGATAGCATACCACGGAATTCAGGCAACTTACATCAACAAATAGGCCGTGTGATTTTAGCATGAAGAAAAAAATTACAAACAGAGCTGTGTAAGCGGGTTCTCCCGGAAAAAAA